CTCTGCCTGCTGTGTGTGCTGCTGTTCGTGGCGGCGCGGCTGTGCAGGAGGGCCAGGGCGGCCTCGCTGGGGGGCTGCTCGGTGCCCGAGGGCCCCTTCCCGGGCCACCTGCTGGACGTCAGCGGCACTGGGACCCTGTCCCACAGCTACCAGTATGAGGTGTGTCTGACGGGAGATTCTGGGATAAAAGAGTTCAAGTTCTTGAAGCCCATAATTCCCAACATCCCGCTCCAGGGAGCTGATGGAAAAACAGAGGAAAGCGCTACCTTCCGAAATAGCTTTGATTTCAATTAGAGATCTTATTATGGTGCAATGTTTTCTCCTATGAATCCCTAACTTCTCCAGATATAGTTTGAAGCGTCCAGCAGAAAAATCCCTCTAGTTATAGCTTTGATACTCCTTTTAAAATAAATGTTCCATTTGAATTTTATTTTATTCAATTTTGGAAACTCAATTTTACTTCATTGTATTACATACTAGACCCATTCCTAATCCATGCATGCTGTTTAGTTTCCTAATTATTTCCATTCCTTTTTAAGATATTTCTTGAGGGACCAGCAGTTAGTGTAATGGCTATGTCGCTGGACTCTCATGTAGTCGACAGCAGTTAAAGTCCTGGACCCGGTGGCTTAAACTCATGCCGTGCACATGTGCGTGCGTGTGTGCCCAAGATCCCAAGAGGAGAATGGAGGAGAGGGGATTGCAGTGTCTGGCGAGTGCACAGGGATGTCGGCATGGCAATTCCCCCCCACCCCCACCCCTGTGATTTCTTGCTTTTTGTCTGTCTCTCTCTGTCTGGCGAGTGCACAGGGCCATATAGCAAAGACCTCTCCAAGAAAAAAAATGCTGTTGATAAAAAATAAAATTGAATATTGATTGCAGTTTTAATATATTCTATGCTGTTTCTTCACAGTTTAAGTATAACATATTGAGGTTAGATTGCAAAAATAAATGGTCACTTTCTTTGTTTTCTAAAGACTACATGCATAGGTAACCAGCAGTTAGCGTAATGGCTATGTCGCTGGATTCCCACGTAGTCGACCGCGGTTCGTGTCCCGGACCCGGTGGCTTAAAACTCACGCCGGGCGCGTGTGCGTGCGTGCCCAAGATCCCGAGAGGAGAATGGAGGAGAAGGGATTGCGGCGTGACCATCCCCCCTGGGGGGTGATTTCTCGCTTTCTGTCTCTATGTCTCTCTCTGTCTGTCTGGCGAGCGCACGCGCCCTACAGTGAAAATCTCTCAAAAAAAAAAAAAAAAGACTACATGCATATAAATAACAAATCAAATATGTGAAAAAACATGCTAAAATGCAGCACTTTCTACCTGCTCTTCTTTTCTAGCCCTGATTCCCACTGGCAAAGTGATTTTTTAAAACTTTTTTATAGATCACAGTAAACAATTCTTAATGTTTAGCTCAATTGATATTTACAAATTAAATATATTTTGTGTCAGTGGCTTTTTGGGGGAATGAAAAATTACAAGCACCCAGGTGTCACACAAAATACTCTTTATAATTACTGCCAGCTTAAATATAGCAAATAAGCTGACTTCCCATACCACAGTTTAGTTTTGCCTTTTTTGAGTTTATATATATGTAATAGTAGAGTATGAACTGGTTTATGTCTGGACTTTTTCACTCAACATTTTATTTATGAAATTCATCCATAATACTGAGTTTGATTTTAGTTCTTTCAATCTCTTGCTGTATAATATCCCACTATATGAGTATGCTACAATTTATTATCCATCTTGCAGATGAATATTTAGCAAAATTTGGCTGTTATGACTAATATTGTTGTGAATATTCTTGTATACACATCCTTTGACAAACATGTATATGCAATTTTGTTGGGTGTGTACCCAGGAGTGGAATTGTTGCTCATTTAGTAAGTGTATGTTTACTTTTAATAGATACTTTAGTCCTTTTGGCCAGAACTGCCATCTTCCAGTAATTAATCAAAATGATGAACACAAATGGAAAGAGAAGAGACACCCAATATATGTTCCTAGGCCTATTAGAAAATATGGGGTGGTTCCTTCAGCAACATACATGTGAATCTACAAGAAATGTGATATTATAGACATCAAGAAATGGATACTTTTCAAAAAGGAATGTCTCACAAATGTTATCATGGCAAAACGGGAAGAGTTTACAATGTTACCCAGCATGCTGTTGGCATTATTGTAAACAAATAGGTTTAGGGCAAGACTCTTGCCAAGAGAATGAATGTGAGTATTAAGCATATTAAGCCTTCTAAAAGCAGAGATAACTTCCTAAAATATGTGAATGAAAATGACCAGAAAAAGAAGGAAGTCAATTCCTTAATTGAGTAGAATTATGTTCCCTTCCCAAAGCTAATTTTTATTGGGCTCTAATTCATTTTGTAATATCTTTATTGAAATTTAGTATTTTTTTTTTTTGGAGAGGTTTTTGCTATAGGGCGTGTGGGCTTGCCAGAAAGACAGAGAGAGACAGAAAGCGAGAAATCACCCACCCCCCAGGGGGGGGATAGCCACACAGAAATCCCTTCTCCTCCATTCTCTTCTCCGGATCTTGGGCACACACGCCCATTCGCCCCGGTGTTAAGTTTAAGCCACCAGGTCCGGGACTCAAACCATGGGTGACTACATGGGAGTTCAGCAACATAGCCATTATGCTAACTGCTGGTCCCAAATTTAGTATTTTTTCACCCAAAAGATGTTAGGTGATTTATACGACAAATGAAACTCAGTTGGTTAGAAAAAAAATAGATACTTTAAAATAGTTTTCTAAAGTAGTTGTACTAATTTACTCCATTGTTATTCAGTGTCTACATGTACAACTTCCTCTACCTTCTTGGCAACATCTAGTATTATTAGTATTATGTGGTTTTTTTGTATTGTTTTTCATTTTGCCACATTGGCTAACATATTTAAACCTCTCCCCCTTCTTATATTTACTTGCTCATCACCAAGGAATATATTTAGAAATGTTTCGGGCATTGTTCACTATGCCCCTCATTCTTAGGCTGAATGATGGAAATGTTCTATAACTTGAAAGAGGTGTGTGTTATAAAGATGGATCCATTGGTTGAAACTGTACAATTAAAATGAGTATTGAAGGGCCAGCAAATGGCATGCTGGTTGGGGTACAGAACTTCCACATGGTCGACCATGGTTCAAAACCTGGCCCTGGTGGCTTGCTCTCTTACTTTCCCTCTTTCTCTCTCTCTGGTGAGCATGTATGCCCAATAGCAAAATTTTAAAACAAATTAAATAAATGGCATAATGGTTACATCACTGACTCCCATGTAGTTGACCATGGTTTGAGTCCTGAGCCCAGTGACTTAGAACACACCAGGCGCATGTGCATGCATGCCTAAAATTTTAATAGGAGAATGGAGGAAAAGGAATTGAAGCATGGTCATCTCCCGTGGGGGGTGATTTCTAGCTTTCTGTCTCTGTCTCTGTCTCTCTCTGGTGAGTGCATGCATTCTTTAACAAAAATCTCTCTCTAAAAAATAAAAAAATAATTATTTTTTAAAAAGAATTTTAGGAATGTGTGCCCTCTAGCAAAAAGGAAACCCAAAACAAAAAAGTGGTTTATTTTGGGCTGGTCTGTGGCTTGTTGGTAAAGGGAGTGAGATCCCACATGGCCACCATGTTTTAAATCCTGGTTCTGGCTGGCCAGTTGAAAAGCATTCCAGGTCCATGTGTATGCATGCCCCAAATTCTGACAGGATAGAGAAATGGAGAAGGAATTGCAACATGACCACACCCCATTGGAGGGTCGTCTTCCTCTCTTTCTATCTCTCTGGCAAGGGCACATAACCTCCAACAACAACACAAAGTGGTGTATTTCAATGGAATATACAAAAGTAAACATGGAGTTAGAGGCAGAGTGGAAAAGTATAGCTAAAACAAGAAAAGACAATGTGGGACCAGCAGGTAGCATAGTGGTTAAGGTGCTGGACTCCCAAGTAGTCGATCAAAGTCTGAGTCCTGGACCCTGTGGCTTGAACCTCCTGCCAGGCCCTTGTGCATGCATGCCCAAAATCATGAGAGGAGACTGGAGGAGAAGAGATTGCAGCATGGCCATCCCCCAGGGGTGATTTCTTATTTTTTGTCTCTCTGTCTCTCTGGTGAATGTATGTACCCTGTAGCAAAAATCTTTTTTTAAAAAAAAAGGAAGAAAGGAAGAAAGAAAGAAAGGAGAGAAAGGAAGCAAGCAGAATATTGTGAATCTCGGTGATGTCTACATGGAGGCTTATTCTGTTAAACTTTGTATATGATGAAAACTTCCATAATTAAAAAAAAAGATTCCTTGGCAAGAACATGTTTACGACAGCAAAGTCAATTTAACTCTATTTTAGCAAATCAAAGCAAAGCAATAGAGAGCTGGGGCCAGGCCATGGAGTGGTCTCTCATGTGGACGAGAGAGTCTTGGCTGTGCACCCTGGGACCTCCCTGTGCAGGCCCTGTGTACAAACACATGCCCATACCTGCGCTGGCTGAGACTGCAGGTGGACTGTGGCATGAGGATCCTGTTGGGGATGTCCTGTCTTTCTTGCTCCTTCTCTTTGTTTATCTTTCTCATGAAAGAAACAAATAACCTTTTAAACTAATTATTTAGTTTTATTTATTATCATTTTTAATTTGCTATAGAGCACATGCACTTACCAAAAAGAGACAGAGACAGAGAGAAAAGTATGGGAGATGAGAAAGCAAGTCGCCAAGTCCAGAACCTCAACCACAAATAATTAAAAAAAAAAAAAAGCAAAAGAGAGCAGAACAGAGAAATATTCTCCTGAAGGAATCTAACATAATCTACTTTCTATAAAAAGAAAGTTTTTGACATATCAGAAATATCTTTTGTGGGTACATCAAGATATTATATTCTATCATAAGTACCAATGTTCTCGAAGGCAGTTCAATGATGTATTGATAAATGGAATTTGACACCTATTGCATTGCTGATTAAAGCTCTCTTAGAATGAAAAATAATTTTATAAGCTATATTTGAGGATGCATCATGGTGCTGCAAGCAGAGTGAATAAAGAATTCTCAGCTGCCAAGGATGTTTAAACTGGAATCAGAACTCAGGGTGTCCACTGAAGGCAGGAAGCATTTAGGACAGAGCTGGAAATAGCTCTGTTTCAGAGAAGAAACTGAAGTCACCGAAGATGTCTGTTGGCTTTCACTTCATCAGTGCATTTTGCTGTTCTTCTCCTGGAGGAAGTCTATTCTCAGTAACATTTATCAAATGAACCCTTGAGGCTGGGCATTTATTATTCTCTATAAATTTTGGTTACATAGGGGTGGTTTTAAATGATAAGATTACCTTACCTGTTCAGAGTTTAGATTTTATTTAGCTTCACCTAGAGTTAAAGTATTTTTAAAAATATCCTCATTTTAAATCTTCCATCATCTTGTCTCCTACCTGATGTGAATTTATCTTGAACTCAATTGGATTTACCTCTCAATAAATGTGAAATAAATTATGTTCGGCATATTTTGTGCTCTTTTATGTGCACTGATTGGCATTTCTCAGGATACTTACACATTTTTCAACTGGTCTGAGCAGAAACTGGTGAGATAGGAAGGGACATAGCCATGATGTTCTCTCATTGAATTCCATGCTATTTACTCAAATGTGGTTTATCTTTTTAGATCACCTTATTTTTCCTGTATTTACAGGATCTTGTAACCTTCTTGCTGTAAGAGGATAGTGAAGGTGATTCTCAAATGTTGGTTTTCTTCGTTGTGTCTTGTTCTTATAACAGAGCAATATTTTGGGGCTTGAATTAATACAGAGGGGAATTTGACAAACTAGAATAAAATGCACAAGCCTCTTAAAACCATTGACAAATTCTAACCATACAAAAATGAAATGGAATCCTAAAATGCTTGTGACGAATACTTAATTGCGTCTGGTTCCTCTTTAAATAATTCAGTCTGCCTAGATAGTTCTATTATAAATACTCCTCATCCTCAGTTTTCCTCCTAATAGCCTAATTGTTCTTTTGCTGTGCTGGCATAACCACATAGCAAAGTAAGTCTGTTGTTTATATGATTTGTGAGTCCTATAATTTAAAGAATTTATTGTTTATTTTACCATTAGTGTGCCAACCAACATCCACATTTTGCATAGTTTTTGATGTATTCGTTAGTACAGTTAAATAGTGTACCACTTGAACTCACAAATCACACTGCTCATCAGAGATAAAAGTTGATTATAGGAAATTTATTTTACTTGATGGAGTGGTGCTTAAATATTACTATACATGAGGACCGCTTAAGGGGAAATATTGGTTCCTGTTAACACCACCAGGTCAAGATCTGGAGTGTGTTGGGGTGGGGTGGGGTGTGTGAATTAGCTTAAGCACACACACACACAAACACACACACACACACACACACACACACAAAAACCAAGACTCCCAAGCAATTCTTTATGCATGTGGCTCAAACACTCAGTTCGAGAAACACTGATGCGACCTAAAGTCTTCGTAATGCTCAAATTTCTGAAATGCTGTTGACCTGAAAATATCATGGAGTTATTGATTTGGCCGCATGGTGGCGGTGCAGGCTAAGACAGTGAATCAAACTGCAGCTTCCGTGGACTCCATTCCACCCAGAAGTCAAAGCAAAAATACAGAACACATTACAGTGAAAGCTGAGAGAGAGAGAGAGAGACGTGTTTGGGAAGGCAGATGTTGCTCACGAAGTCATAAGAACGAGTTCAAAAATTTATAGCAAGACATTCCAGAGGGTCAACGGTGGATGTGGTGATTGGAACACTGAAAAGGATCGTTTCTTCTGGAATCAGACATCACAATAGAAATGGTGCAAACAAACGTGCAGCACAAGAAAAGGCAAGTGGCAATCTTCCTTATATTGATGGTTTTGTGGGAGGTGGGCTCTGAACTGATTCATTATTCTGTATTGGAGGAGACAGAAAGTGGCACGTTTGTGGCCAACTTGACAAAGGACCTAGGACTTAAGGAGGGAGAGCTGGCTGCTCGGGGAGCCCGGGTTGTTTTCAAGGGGAACAGACAGCATTTGCAGCTTGATCCACAAACCCATGATTTGCAGTTAAATGAAAAATTAGACCGGGAGGAGCTGTGTGGCTCCACGGAGCCGTGTGTGCTTCCTTTCCAAGTGTTACTGGAAAATCCTTTGCAGTTTTTTCAGGCTGCTTTGAGAGTCAGAGATATAAATGACCACACCCCTGAGTTCCCTGACAGAGAAATGCTTCTGAAAATATCAGAAATTACACTACCAGGAAAGATATTTCCTCTGAAAATGGCACAGGATTTAGATACTGGCAGCAATAGCATTCAGAGCTATACAATCAGCTCCAACCCTCACTTCCACGTTCTCACCCGCAATCGCAGCGACGGCAGGAAGTTCCCGGAGCTGGTGCTGGACAAAGCATTGGACCGGGAGGAACAGCCCCAGCTCAAGCTAACGCTCACAGCGCTGGATGGCGGCATTCCCCCGCGGTCAGGGACCACAAGGATTCAGATAGTGGTCTTGGACAGCAATGACAATGCCCCTGAATTTGCTCAGGAGCTCTATGAAGTGCAAGTCCTGGAGAACAACGCCATTGGCTCTCTGGTTACTACTGTCTCTGCGAGAGATTTAGATGCAGGATCCTTTGGGGAAGTATCTTATGCCCTATTTCAAGTGGATAACTTAAACCAACCCTTCGAAATAAATGCAATCACAGGAGAAATTCGACTAAAAAAGACTTTGGATTTTGAGGAATTTCAGTCTTACCACGTCGATGTGGAGGCCACAGATGGCGGGGGCTTAACAGGAAAATGCTCTTTAGTCGTCAAGGTTCTGGATGTGAATGACAACGCACCAGAACTGACAATGTCCTCTCTCGTCAGCTCTATCCCTGAAAACTCTCCAGAGATCACAGTGGCTGTGTTCAGTGTTTCAGATGCAGATTCCGGACATAACCAACAGGTTATCTGTTCTATAGATGACAATCTCCCCTTCATTCTGAGACCTACGATGGAGAATTTCTACACCCTGGTAACAGAAAGCCCGCTAGACAGAGAGAGCCAAGCCGAGTACAACATCACCATCACCGTCACCGACCTGGGGACTCCCAGGCTGACCACAGAGCACAGCATAACCCTGCTGGTCTCCGACGTCAACGACAACGCCCCCGCCTTCACCCAGGCCTCCTACACCCTGCTGGTCCGCGAGAACAACAGCCCCGCCCTGCACATCGGAACCATCAGCGCCACAGACGCAGACGCGGGCACCAACGCCCAGGTCACCTACTCGCTGCTGCCGCCCCACGACCCGCAGCTGGCCCTGGCCTCGCTGGTGTCCATCAACGCCGACAACGGCCAGCTGTTCGCGCTCAGGTCGCTGGACTACGAGGCCCTGCGCGCCTTCGAGTTCGGCGTGCGCGCGGCAGACCGCGGCTCGCCCGCGCTCAGCAGCCAGGCGCTGGTGCGCGTGCTGGTGCTGGACGCCAACGACAACGCGCCCTTCGTGCTCTACCCGCTGCAGAACGGCTCTGCGCCCTGCACCGAGCTGGTGCCCAG